GATTTTAGATTGCTTTGATACCTGGAATTAATGTGATTCTTTTAGAAATCTAGTGACTCAACAAATCATAAAAAAAAAAAAAGAAAAAAATACATTTGAAGTCCAGCTAACTCACTTAGACCTCTCACACGGTTTCTCAAAAAGATTTTAAAGACAGCTAACTACAGAGAGAGCAACGAAATGAGAAACCTATGAAGCAGGCAGTTGAGTGGAAATTAAATAATTTATTTCAAACTAGGTATTTAACGTGTCTAAAAGGTAAGAATTGCCAAACACTTCTTTTTCTGTTTATGTTAATGTGATATCTACATGAAAATGGGGGGATATGAAAATGGCAAATGTATTAGATTAGTTGGGGGGGGGTGCAGAGGGAGAGAGGACAGGTTCCCTGGGAAACCCACCACAGAAAGGAAAGGACTGTTGTACAAAGACCAGGTAAAAAAAAAAAGCATTACAAACTCTAAAATTTGAAAACACTAAAGAACTTAAGAAAGTCAGTAGTATATCAGCAGAAAACAGTAGTCTTTTCTTAATTTGATTTTGAAACAGATTTTTAGAATATTGAGATTAATTTGCATTAAAGAGACAGGAAAGAGTTTAATGCTTTATTATCCACCTGTAGCCCAACTCTCCACCTGCAACACAAAAACAGACAAAATACTGAGAAAACAATTACATTTCCTTCCTAATCTACGGAGATAAACGTCCCTCCTCCCTCTACCCTATGATGACTTCCCGCAGCAAACTTTGGTGTACTAACCCAATATTCATCTAGGTCCAGTAAAATGAAAAATACCAACACATGTTCTTTAGTTTCCATCTTTATGTAACTACATAGATACAATTAAAAAATCAATCGGGGGGCGCCTGGGTGGCTTAGTAGGTTAAGCGTCTGACTTTCGCTTAGGTCATGATCTCGCGGTTCATGGGTTTGAGACCCGCGTCGGGCTCTGTGCTGACTGCCAGCTCAGAGCCTGGAGCCTGTTTCAGTGTCTGTGTCTCCCTCTCTCTCTGACCCTCCCCTGCTCATGTTTTCTCTCTATCTCTCTCTCTCTCTCTCTCTCCCCTAGAATTTAAAAAAAAAAAAATCAATTGGGAAGTACATACATGCCCAAACAATTTAGTGATGGTAGCATGGCCAATTCCTGAGAACATAAAATTCAACTACAAAGCGATTTTGAAAAATTGTCCCTGTTGCAAGTAAATAGAAAAACATTCAGCATGAACTATGAGGGAATACACATGGTGACTGATAATAGCAGGCTATACACCCATTGGTGAGGAAAGAATTGATTTTGCCTGCATTCATTCAACAAATGCAGAATGGCAGTGGGCAGGATTAAGTCTATGACTCCAGTACCTGGAGACAGATTGCCTGGGTTGGAATTCTCACCTCACTGCTTTCTAGCTGAGTCATCCTTGGGCCAGTTAATTATTTAAGTTTCTCTGTCGCTCAGTCTTTTCATCTATAAAATGGGGATAATGATGAGATCTACAAAGTTATTAAAAGGAATCAATAAGTTAGTATTTAATGTTTTAGAAGCAGGTAATGTTTAAATAGGGGCTGGGGTACATAGTAATCTCTACATGAGGGATGATTAAATATGACTGCATTAGATAACTAATGGAAAAAGTGGACATGTAGGCCAATAAGTCACCATTAGTCAGCTCTGAGGGGTTATAATGAATGACTCCAAGAAGGCTCAAGACATAAAATACTGGCCCAGTAAGCATAAAACAGCATTCCCTGAAATGCCCAGTCTTTGAAGAAGATGCTCTTTTCAGTTCTTGAGTTCTTTTAAAAGTTTAGAGCCATAAAGAGGAGTTGGGATGGGAAAATGAGAGAACATTACCGATGCTCAAAGAAAGACTGGGATGTTTCATACCTACCTTTGATCAAAACAACACCCCTAACAAAGAACTTGACTTACTGCTCAATCCCTTCCCAGAAGACAGAATAAGAGAAAATAAGCATGTACACGGGGAAGGCTCTGGGCTAGTTATCTGGAAACATTTTGATACCACGAGAATTACTAAGTATCAGAATGGATTGCTGAAAGGGGGTCAGGAGTCTCCCCCTTCTCAGGCCTTTCACACAGGACAGATAGTCTATCTGATCTGCCTGGGATGGCTTAAAATCAGCGCTGAGTGAAGATTAATGGTGCAAACTGGCCCTTAAAGGCCTCCCAAGCACTCTCTGAGAGTATAACTTTATATATTACCCATCACAGCCCCTCATCTATGGAGTTTGAAGAACTCCCTTTTATCCTAGAAAAGGGCAACACTATTTCACAATTGTGAGTTCTGAGTAAAACTTTAATAATGTCATGATGAAGCATAATGTCCTTATTACTTCTCAGTTATTTTACCAGGCAAACTACCTGCAAATATCTTTCAATTAGAAACAGCTCTCATGAATCTAAATTATAAACAGCAGTTCCTTTAAATTCATGTTCCCTGGCAGACTAATGGCATATGCCATTTCTCAAGCAAACCATTAAAAGTCCAAATAACGCAAAGGATGAAAAGAGAATTTAAGGAAAGGATACCCACCATATACTTGATAATAAAATGTCAATAGTATCAGAACTAGGGAAGAGCCAAAGAGTGTTTTTCTTTAATAATGGGACATATTTCCTCAATGGTTATTCCAACAACAACACGTAGCACTGAGTAGTTCACGTTGAAATATATATATATATACACACACATATATATATACATACACACACACATATATGGATATGTATACATACAACGATCTTTTAATTCATTGTCTTCCTACCAGATGTGCCTCTGACACCACAGTGACCTGTATCTTGATCATTTCCACCAGTATCAAAGCACGCTACGGTTAGGCAAAGTCAACAGTACCCCTTGGTCCTAGAAAGTGAGTTTAACAAAGTGCACGTTTTAGAATTTAATAGCTAATTAGTGAGCACTGTAATTGTCAGGAGGTGGAGGGAAAGAAGAAACCAAAAGAGCTGTAGTTAAAAATCTACTAAAGGATTTATTTTAACCACTGGAAATGTTCTCGGGATAGTAAATGGTTGAGTGCAGAAACTATTTACCCTAAAAACCTTCACTTTGATATTAAGAAGATTGCCTCATGAAAGTCCCATAAGCCACTAAAGAATCCCGAAGCAATTTAAAAATACTCAACTATTTTCTTCTCTGAGATATCATACCTGAAATCATGCTGGGAAATATCTGTGCGTTTAAAAGATGCAGTCTGAAAAAGCCCAGATTAGAGGAGAAAAAGTTCCTAGAAGCAGTGAGCCATGCTATCAAACCTTTTAAAAGTTGAATTCCCTGAGATTTGGGGAGGAGGAAAAAAGCAAAGCTGATCCTTATCAATTAATTAAAAAGAATGAAATAACAGTAGACAAAGGGTAAGGAGAGTTAAGAAACTTAAGGAGCTGTGGGGGCAGTCGCTCTCTATTCAGTGATTAACAAATTAAGGAGTTCTGGAAAAACGAGGGGAAGTGACAGGATAGCAAAGTAGACTTATAATTCACCACGGGTTCCGCCTCCGACTCACCAGAGGCTGGCTACGTCTGGCTCAGAATTGGAAAAGGCTCCCCGTGCACACTGCTCGGGGCTGCTGGCGTCGGCATGGGCTATTTTTTCCCCCAATGCCTCAACTGATCCAAATGTGTTCATGTCGGTGTAAGTGCACACCTTCACTGGCAGCGTGTGCAGATCAAGCGTAACAAAATAGCAACTGCATTACGTATGGAAACGGGGATGCTTTAAGAAATCTGCAAGAAGCTTGCCCCCCCCCCCCTCGACCAGCTCTTTGGCCACACGCAAGGAGGCTGGTGGACGCTCGGCGTTCCGCTTCGAGCATCTGAGGTCACCGAGGACTCGGGCGGCCGGGATGGAGCGGCCCGCGCCCTCGCGGCAGCCCCCGGCCTCGCGCAGCCTGATTCTCGCTCCCCGACACGTTTCATTCACAGAGCAACAGAGAAGCTCCGATTCGGTTGGAGCTAAGAGCCGGAGAACACGCACTCGGGCAGCCGCGCAAGTTGCCGGAGACCGAGTGCTCCCCACACGCCGCCGGCGCCCAGAAAGGGGGTGCGGGGGGCTCCCGGGCTCGCGCTGCGGGAGTGCCGGTGGCCCCGCGGACCCCGGGACGGACCTGCCCGCGAGCCCCCCGCCAGAGCGCGCGCAGCCGCTGAGAACGGGCGGGCGGCCGAGCCCGCGCTCGGGTCCCGGGCGCCGCGCCGGGTGCCGGGGTGTCCTCCGAACCGCGAGTGACCAACCGCAATCTGGACAGCACGGAGGACCCGTAACGCGAAAGCCCGCGCCAGCCCCGAAACCGACGGCCCAAGGACTGCCCCCTCCAACCCAGCCCGGAACTGGCGACGTCCGGGGGCCGGGTCCCCCGCTGGGGTCCCCCCCGCCGCGCCCGCCCCCGGCCCGGGCGCGCTGCGCTCTGCCTCCCGGAAGGACCGGGAGAGCGCGGCGAGCGGAGCCCTGCGCGTCTCTCCGCCGCCCCCGCCAGCGCGAGGGCGGGAGCGGGGAAGGCGCCACTCAGACTGTGGCGCTGGGCAAACTGCGGCCGCAGTTCTTCCAAGTTTGCCTGAGCGCGGGGCGCGGTATGGGCGCCCCGCTCGGCGACCTGCCCTCGCGCCGCGGCCGCCCCCGGGCGTCCCGCGCTCCCCCGCCGGCCCGGCCGGAGCCCAGGGCGAAGGGGGCGCACGGGCGCCGGAGCCGAGGGAGCGCGGGCGGGCGGGAGGGAGGACGCTCCCGCGTGTGCACACAATGAGGCAGCCGAGACGCACACCTTCCCCGCGGGAGCGGCCGCGCGAGCATCCGCCGCCCGGCGCGGAGGGAGGCGCGGCGTCCGGGAGAGCCGTGCCGGAAAGTGAACCCCAACTACTCAGCAACAGGGGGAAGGAGGAGGGCGCCGGGCGGCCCGGTGGGGAGGGGAGGGGAGGGGGGAGCCGTGCGGCCGCCGAGGGCTGCAGCCTGGCGGGCCGCGCGCCCGCGCTTACCTGCGATCTCCTGGTAGGGGATGTCCGCCAGGCTGAATCCCTTGGCACCGTACGCCTGGCGGACCTCGCCGCAGCTCCGAGCCTTCACCTCCGCCCTGGCCGGGAGGGACAGCAGCAGCCCGGAGATGGGAAGAATCACAGCCCCGATCCAAGAAGTCATGGTGCGGCGTCCAGATCCAGCTCGGTAAGCCCCGGGGCCCGTGCGCTCTTCACCTTGCCCCTCGAGCTGAAAGCCCGCCAGAGCCCGCGGCGCGCTCCTCGCCGCTGCCCAGCGTCACCCCCTTCCGCCAGCCGAGGGGACGAGCAGCGCAGCCCTCTGGACTGCGCTCAGCAAACTTTTATAAGCCAGATGGAGGACGGCAAGCCAACCGGGGCTGGCTGGGAAAACAGCCGCCTTGCTCCTCTAGCCCCCCCAGATCGAAAACGGCGCGACCAAAACGAGGGAGAGAAGGCAGAGGAGTGTTTAAAAAACCACCATGGGGCTTCGGGGCTGCGATCCGACTTCCGAGCCGCAGAATCCGAGAGCGCTGCGAGCTCGGCTCGCCCGAAGGTGCAGCCAAGGTGGGAACGCGCGCCGGCTCTCCCGGGGAGGGAGGCGCACCGGCGAGCGCGAGTGTGTGTGTGTGCGCGCGTGTGTGCCGGGGCGAGCGCGGGGTTCCTGGGGACGCGTGTGCGTGGAGGTATGTGTTGGGGATATACGGGATCCGGGGGAAACCTCAGCTTCACACAGGCTGAGGGAGCCTGTGAGAGTCCTCCTGAAATAGGAAGAGAGAAATCCCGGAGCCAGACACTGGAGGCTAGGGGGAAGGAGAAAGGAGGGGAGAGGCAGAAACGTGCTACACTGAGCACAGCCGAAAATCAGGGGCAGAGTCGGAGGCAAAACCTGGACTGGATCTCCTGCCACTCGGTGGAAGGGAAGAGGGAAGAAAGGAAGCGGTTCTGTTTCTCACCCCCTTCACATCCTTCATACTGATCCCAAACGCTTCCTCCAATGACCCAAGTAAGTAATCTGGGGAGATAAAGTATTTTAAGTCATTACCGCATCTGTTATGAAGCCATGCTTTTGTGGACTTAAAAGACCACGCAATTCCAGTTGTTGCTCTAAATAGGGGTAACAATTTATGACCTACTGAACCACAAAGCCCGCGTAGAAATAAACGTATAGAGGAACCCCTGAGCTTCAGAGCACCACCATCGCTGTAATCAATTGCCTCATTTCTCTTTAGGAAGTGTTTATTTTCTAAAGACAGTGTGTGCACACAGAGAGCAGTAGGGTTTTTTTGTTTGTTTTTAATTGTTTTGGTTTGGGACTCAAGATTTCACCCTCTTTAATTTCAAATATTACATAATCTTGGATCAGAAATCATTATGCTTTAATTTCTAGTGTGTGGAGAGACAGGAAAGCTAAGAAGGGGAAACTAAGCAGGGAAGCCGAGAGAGTAGGTGCACCCAGGAAGGTACTGGGGAGGCGGAGGGACTGCTTCCTTCCCTCTCCCCAATCTCTCATACTGGGTTTAACGTTTTCTTCCAAGTTAACAGAATTCTGAACTGGGGAATCCATTAAATCTCCTCCTGTCTTACACTCAAGTTTTGTGAAATGGGATAATAATGAAAATTCAGGGTAGGCTAATTTCTTACTGACTTTCTTATGTTAATTCACTCTACTAAGCAGAAGCTGGTGTGGATCTCCAGAGCTCCTCCAACTACTAAGGTAGTTAAAGCCAAGACAAAAAAAAAAAAAAAAAATGATAATGCTTACTGGATTGTGAAGCCAAATGTAGGAAGATCAGCACATTACTCAAAAATTACCATAGGCTAATATGCAATTGCATGGAGCCCACCTATAAAGCTACACGTGAAGACGTTTTCCTGATGATGGCTGTTAATGACCAGAATGACTCATGAAATTTAAGTCCTTCTGTTTTCTATTTGTTATCATCACAACACATTGGGTGCATCTTCCTTTCTTTGATTAATTCCTCCTTTCTTCACCAGAAAGGCTCTCAAGTTCCATCCTCAGTTATGCCATGGAAATGCTTAAAAATATAAAGCTGATTTGTTTACAAATTGACTTTCTCCTCTTCAAAATGCCACAGCTAAACATTTTCACTTTGAAACCAATGGTCACATACACATTTTTCTCCTGAAATTCTGGCGCAGTTTTTGTCTTCATGATATTGTGCTAACTGGCTGGCCCTGAGGTCACTGAACTCATTTTCCTCAACGTCCAAAATCAAGATGAGAACAAAATATACTCTAGTGTCTTTGTGGGCAAAGGATAAAGACAGATACGATAAGAAATCTCTGTAACCGAGTCGTTATTTCGATGATGTTTGACATGACTCCATTCCAACTTCAGTTTCTATCACAGCCAGGTGATGGGCATTGTCCACTCCTGAGGAAGGGGTAAATCCACACGGAACGTATCCTATCATCTCATACCGGGACTCAGTAGTAGCAGTATGGCAGGTAATGCAAGAAAAAGAATGTTGGAGGTGGAGGAAGAGTGGGTGAAAACATAGTAGATGTGGTTTAAGTTATTTAAAAAATCAGTGAATCACTAAGTATTCAATGAGCAATCAATGCAACTATACAGAAGTAGATTATTGTACACAATGAATTATAAGGTAACCAAGCGGAAATAAATCACTTTAATCCCATCACGAGGCTGACACAATGTCGAGGAGGTTTGTGAGTGCCAGGCCGACCAAAGAAGGAAGTAACTCGCCTTCCTTGTGTTCTCAGCCCCTACAGGGCCCACTTGTTGGCTGATGCAGCACTTTTTGAAGTGGTGGGAGAGGCAACGTCCTAACCTTCCAGCTAAGGGCAACAGCACAGCCTGGGTGAGGTGCTGGAAGCGAGCACCCAGAAGCAAAAGAAAGGTAAGAAAGAGAAACACACCGCGCTCTGCTATAAGGGTAAAGGTTTCAAGTGGTGGCGGCCAGAATAGGAGGGTAGAGGATAGGTAAATTTTGCCAAAAGCATTAGCACGATTTGGGCTTTGGTTCAATACACGCGCACGCACACGCATGCACACACAATAACTATGAAGGCTTATTTTAAAATTGTGAGTCTTGGGGCGCCCGGGTGGCTCAGTCGGTTGGGCGTCCGACATCGGCTCAGGGCATGATTCGTGGTTCGTGGGTTCGAGCCCCGCATCGGGCTCTGTGCTGAGAGCTAGCCTGTTTCAGATTCTGTGCCTCCCTCTCTCCCTCTGACCCCTGCTCCTGCTGTCTCTCTCAGAAATAAATAAAACATTGAAAAAAAAGTTTCTTTAAATCGTGAGTCTCATTGGGAAAATATGGTATGTTTGTTTATTAGGACAATAAGATTCTTGTTTATACAGCAATTCCACACCCCAGCTGTTATTTGACAGCCCCTTCGGGGCATAAAATGAATGGAACCTCAGAGACTTTGAGTTCTACGGAAAAAGGACTAAGTCTCGAGGAGCAGCCATAGTTAGTTAGTAGGCAAGCAGAGCAGCCCATGGCCGACTCCGTGCTCAAGGGCTCTTCCTCCCGCAAGTCTGAAGGCATCTGGGGGCACGGTGTTAGCACCGAGGGATGAATGACAATTGGCCTAAGCCAGCCATGCCAATCCTTTCCCTTTTCTATTAAACAGTTCAGAGGTTGGCGTAAGACCAATTTCTGGTGAATGAGACGTAAGGAAATTTCTGGGAAACATTATTTTCCCTGATTAAAGTCAAGAACTATAGGAGCAGAAAGGTCTTTTTATCTTAGCCTCCTATCTTCTCAGAGCTAATTGACCATCTTGTGCCTAGGAGACCAGACTCTGCTAACAGGCAAAGAACAGAAGATGGAAAGAACCTAGATTTTTTATTTCCTATGTGACTCCCCAAACCAGCCCTGGGACTACCAACCTCTGAACTTCTCGTTAAATAATTCATAAATCTCTTTGTACTTTATGCCACTATCAGTTGGTTTTTCTGCTATTTACAAATAAAAGCAATATAAATGTATAGTGCAAACTAAAGGAAGAACGGAAGTGAAGGCAAGAGACGGGTTAGTTGCAAACAATAGAAGGGGACAAAATTAGGTAGCACCGTGGCATCCATGTTAGATTTTCAGTCATGAAGCAAATCGCAGGAGACATCAAGGACAAGAAAGGGGGAGAAAATGGTACTTGGATAATGATAAAGAGACTTAGTGGAAACTTCCACAGAAACATTTTAATAAAACAATGGGGTAGATGCCAGACCACATGGAATTGTATATGAAGTGGATGGAGAGAATATGGAAACATCAAGGTATAACTAATTACAGTGCGGGAGCTCCATGTGAAAGGGGGCAGGGTCATCAGGGAATGCTTTCCAGAAGAAGCTTCTAAAACTATAAGGAAGAGGCTAGACATAGTCAGAGACTGAACTTCACTATATGATTTGGTGGGTTAATTTTAAACATTTCTCTGTTTTATTTGCACTTTGTAAGTTTTCTGCAGTGTGAGTTCTTTATGATGAAAAAATTATTTTACAATAAATATGTCATACTTTCAACAAATGTAATTAAAATTTGTGGTCATGCTTTATAAAGTAAAGGGGCCTTACAATTATCTCATATATGTAAAACAAATGGCTGTTAATACTTTTCTCAGTAAAATAACACCTTTGTGGTATGAAAGTTTTTGTTGTTAATTTTTGAAAGCCTTGAATTAAGAAAAAAAAAAAAAGACATACGGCGCCTGGGTCGATCAGTTGGTTAAGCCACCAACTTCAGCTCAGGTCATGATCCCTCAGGCTGTGAGTTCAAGCCCAGTGTCAGGCTCTGTGGAGATGGCTCAGAGCCTAGAGCCTGCTTCAGATTCTATGTCTCCCGCTTTCTGGCCCTCCCCCTACGTGTGCTCTGATTCCCTCTGTGTGTGTGTGTGTCTCTCCCACCCCTGTCAAAAATAAACAAACACTTAAATAAAAAATTTTTAAAAACACAGTTACAGAATTTACTATTCTTTTGCTTAGTTATACCAATGCATGAATGAAAACAGCATGAATTTTAGGAGTTTTTTTTTTCTTTTGTGCACTTAGATCAAGCAGAACAAATAAGTTCAAACGAAATCTCGTGAAAACGAGAATGGTTTTCAAGTGTCTATTCCGCATCTTCGCTTGGCACAAATCAAAATCACTTAGTTAACCTGCCTCTTGAAAAACAGAGCCTGTAATGAAAAAGCTGTCAGAAATTTAACAACAGTAGCTCTGCCTGGTGCCTGGATAATGGGAAGGATGCTGAGTTACAGGGAAAGAAAAGGTAAACTTGGGTGAATAATGACCAAAAATGGTGGTGAAAATAATGTGGGGTATTTTTTTTTTTTTTTACCAAGGTTTATTCCCAACCAAATTGTAATAGTGCATTTAGCATTTATTGAGCCTTAAGAGTATACCCAGTATTAATATAAACCAGTTAAGATTATATCTTTAGGGCAGCTGAGGACCAGCTGGGTTGCTAATGATCTCTTGGAGAAAGCCAAACACTGAGGGACAACAGATTCTTCTTGTCTTATAATATTCTTCAAATGTGGCCAGAACTATCTGGCTTCAGTAGAGGGAATTATATGATCTGCTTAATCAGGGTTTTGCCTAGTACTCATGTCAGAATTTAGGACAGAGAAACGAAAGAGCTCTAATTATTTAATTATATGTAGTTTTCATATATGCTGGAAGGATAGACAATGAAAGTATTTCATATATTCTTAAGCATTACTCGTATTTACTTGAAATATCACTGACAATCCCCAAGAAGGTATAAATAGGAAATATGTTAAGGCATTACAATGATTTAAAATGCTATTTTCAATTTTTTATGTTTATTAATGACCCAGGAACTCACTCTCCATTGATTCTAAGTGAGATTCATGCCTAGAAATACATCTTAGGTCATAAAGTACATTTAAATGTCAAGTAACAAAATATTTACTTTCAAAAATTGGTGTTAGGACTACTTTCTTCCTTGGAACAATGTTGGCAAATGTAATTCTGGCTAAGCACCATTTTATACCATCATTAGGAAAGCTTATTGTACATAAGGAAGAGAGTTTCATTTTGACTTTATGGCCCACGATATTAATAGCTGCCTTCAGTAATGTCATTATTTAAAGCTCACGTGTTTTTGAAGTGTTTCCAAATGAGATATGTAAATGTAAGAGAGTGACACAAATGAAAATCCTATTGCAGATTAATAAACTTGCATTTTTGTAGTTCATAAAAGAAGATCATTTAACCTTGTCTTACTTGTTATAAATTCTGATATTAATGTTATGAGAGATGATTCTGGAGCTAAGCAGTAATTTGACATTCCTAGATTATTGGGACCATACATCTTGGCAGTCACCTCTCCAGTTCTTTGCTTTCGTGAAAGATGAATGGAGCTGTGCGTAGTTTTCAGATCGCCTGGCACCAAAAGCAATGACCTTCCTTTTTTTTGTTTTGTTTTGTTTTTATTTTAATTCCACTTAGTTAACACAGTGTAATATTAGTTTCAGGTGTACAATATAGTGATTCAACACTTCCATACACCACCCGGTGCTCATCACAGGGGCCCTCCTTAATCCTCAGCACCTATTTGACCCATCCCCCAGCCCACTGCCCCTCAGGTAACCATCTGACAAAGACCTTCCTTAAGGCAAGTGAGAGACAACCAAGATTTTTCCAGAGGGAAGAGCTCTTCGCATGCTGCCGATTTTCATCAGTTGGAACACCTTAACTCTATGATAATTTCTCAGATTCTAAAAACTCTGGGTTAATTATTATTAATTATCCCAACGTTAAAGAAGCAGTATGACAGACTTGGTTTGGGTAAAAAAATTGATGATGAACTCAAAATATTGCTGTTGTTAACTATTTTACAACATACCGGTATCTGCTTTTTAAACCATATCTGTCGAATTTCAGTCCTAAGGACGCTACTCTGAAGGAACAGTAAGATAATTTTCTGGTTAAGCTTTCCTTTTTTAACCTAATGTCTCCAGAACAGAGGATCAAAATAAAACAAAACAAAACAAAAGTTACTTAGAAAAATAAGCTACAGAATGGTTTAATTGGTTAGAATCAGAAGAAATCCAGGACCATACTTTGATATGAAATTACTTTTAGCCATGGGAGGTGATCTGAATATTCTAAAATTCAATAATCAACATTTTCAAAGCTTTAAATTTGAGGAGTTATCTAATAACTTCAAGATACAGTGATTAAATGCATTTAATTTCATTATAAGTTAGGATAGATACTGGCAAGAAAAAAAAGGAAACAGAAATTTTAAGTAGATTCTGCCTCCATCCACTGATGCATGTAAGTCAACAAAACTTCCTTGTTGAGCATTACATCTTAAAGCGGTATTGGTTTTTTTCTGTGAAAAGCTGATGGAGCGGGTAGAAGCAATGTTCTTGAGGCCAGGCCAACAAGATACCTTTTCTCTGTTCATTGGCTACAGTCACAAACATCCCAATTAAAAACTATACAAAAAACTGTTAGTCATAAGAGAAGGTAGGAGACAGCAGCCGGGTTGTACTAAATTATAATTCTACAAAGAAAAACCTCAAAGTCCTAATGGAACCAATTATCCTAATGGAAAATAGTAACACACCAATAACTTCACTGATAAATTTTACTTTCTCCTTTGACAAAGATTATGATCGTGTCATGAAGAAGGCAGACTGACCCCTATTAAAAAATAAATAAAACTGATTTCTATGGAATAGTGAATATCATCTCTTAGGCAAGTTACAATTATAAAGTTTTCAATAATAATTCATACTTACATAGCTCTTCAAATTCTACCATTCACCTTCATGGTTGGAATGAATATACATGGACACAGAGGTACAAAGAAAATTTTCTCCACGTAGCCATTACTATGAATAATAACTAGAATTTAGCAATAAAATGTGCTTCCTAATAAGCCAGGAAAACAATTCCCCAATGTGACCAGACAAATCCTGTAACATATTTTCTATCAATGCTAATATTTTCATTGAGTTTTATGCATAAGTGGTTTTTTTTTTTTGTTTCTTCTCCTGGCAAGTATTCACAAATGTATTCTCACCTCCCATATAGAACAAAGTTTCCTAAGCAGTCTATGACAACACCACACCCCAAGTGTGTCACATTTTAAAAGATCAGTAAACAGTAAAGAAAAGAATAATAAATCTTTAGGTTTACAGCCTGCATAGCAAAGACAAACTAGCAATAATTTTTAGACCTATGGTTAGGAAAATAGCACTGATCTTGATCTATGTCATTTAATGGTAACTCAAAATCTAAACTTAATTCCACTGAATTCCATAAAACATTTACGGCTAACATCCTCCATTCTTTATCGGGTACAAAAAAAGTAGAATATATTTAATTTCATATAAAACATCATCATTTTTTTTACTTGAAGAATATGCCTCTATTTGTCTTTATAATACGAATTCACTCTCAGGCAATCATTTCCAACACTTGCCTCTATATTAGCTCCACACATTTTATTAAATTTCAGAGGGAAATAATTAAATGTGATAGAGTAAACCTCATGTATTTTGTTAAGTCACTTGGAGAAAAGAAAACGTCTGAGCTTGGAAGTTGGAAGTCCCATCCGCTAACGATCTGTTTCCAGGGAGGTGTCCCAGGCAAGCAGAGCAGCAGCCTGCAACATGCCTTCAGTTTTCTCCTGATGTTCATTTGCAATGATAGCCAATCAATGTTGAGGACATTACTAAGCAATCCAGGGCTGTTTGCTTTTAATTGGTAAACTGTCTTCCAAAAATAACATCTTTGGGCTTCACAACACCCTAGTCATAGAGCCATTACAGAATGAATGTCTTTACTGTACCAGAGGACCTGTATGAATAATGAATAGGGCTCTATTTTTCCTGGGAAACAAACATGTACCGGCATGTTTGAGGTAATGAACAGTATTGTGAGTGTGCACAGCCTTGGACACTACCTCTGGTCTGACTTCTACCTTAATTTAAGTAGATAACTGATTTTAAAACCCCACAGAGGGTCGAACAACCTTATTTTAAACCTGTAACATGCTGCCTGGTTTATATGTTGCTTTTACAACTTTAAAATGATGATTTAGTACAAAAATTGAAGAGATGAAGGATCATGTTACAGTCTCTAAGGGGCAAGGCTGGCTTGCACCAATTTGAGAGGAAAAGAAAAGAACATTTGAACACAGCGTTTAAGGAACTAGAATTTCATCTTTATTTTAAACTTTACAGAAACACAGTTGAATCCTGAATCTCCTGAGCACACATAAAAAGTAATTTTGTGCTGTGCAAAGTGTAACTAAATTTAGATATTTGTGCAAGAGATACTTCACAAAATCACTAATGAAAAGTAAGATCTAAGATTTTAAGAAGATAATGACCTTGGAATGTGTTTAAAACTATTTGGCTTTTCCTTTAGAAAGATCATGAAAGGGCTTAATGTATTTTGTAAATTACTTCCATAATGATTTCACTTACAAAGAATATAATTTGCTAGTCTATTTTCATAATGAATGAGAGCTTAATGAATCACACATACTTCACCATTCAACAGAAATATGGGGCATCACAGCACTGAATTGAAATATTCATTGTAAGAAGTCTTTGGAGTTTGGCAAGAAGACTTTAAAAATTTGTTTCTGTTTTTCAGGGTGAAGCACGTTCCTGTTCAAGTTGACTTAAAGAATGAGTTAACCATCATACAAAATTATTGTTCGTTGGTAGCAACTCAAATGGAGAGTCTCCTATTTATAAACGATTATGAATTTTCACCGGACACAAACTCAGGTGTAAGGACACTTCCTTTGGTTTCCTATAATGGAACTTAATTTCTATCTGATGTCTCTCTTCTACTCGGCTGCAGAAAATTTAATCTTGCCAATCCAAGGTAAATGTAGTCACCTAAGAATTTTTTCAGACCTATCTCCCTCCCCAGGGAGGGTTCATTTTGTCCATGTGGAGATGGTGAGACATTTGGGCATTGGTGAAAACAGATCACCTAGTTGTTGGTCGTGGTTATTTTCTAGGACAGCATTATCTGAAAGTAATAGATCTTTTTGCAGTCCCTGCCAACATGGTCCACAGCGCATCCGTCGCAACGCCATCCCCCTTCTCACCTAGGATCCTACACATCCACAAGTGTGTGTGAACTACCGAGAGCGGTAGCCTTCTTTCCCTCAACTTATCTGCGCCCTCTATTGATTGCACAGGGAAGGTGGGCTGCCCACCTGCACCTCTAGTAGTTTTCTCAGTCTACCACTGCATTCTTTCACTGCTCCCTTTCCATTGTAGTACAAAGGACATTAGAGAGAATACAGACTACAGTGCCTCCTGGTAGGAGAGTGCAAATGCTCACCTCCACCCTCTGGAGACTCTGATTCTATCAAGGTTCAGCCCACACAGAGGACACAGGGATAACTACATGTATATTAGCTTCCAGCTTTCTGTCTTCTCCTTCACCCAGCATTTTTATTAGAACGGGACAAGAAAGGGGCACCCGGGTGGCTTAGACGTTTAAGCGTCTGACTTTCGCCCAGGTCATGATCTCGCGGTTTGTGGGTTCGGGCGCCGCGTCGGGCTCTGTGCTGACTGCCAGCTCAGAGCCTGGAGCCTGTTTCAGTCTGTGACTCCCTCTCTCTCTGACCCTCCCCTGTTCACGCTGTCTCTCTCTCTCTCCTAGAAATAAATAAAACATTAAAAAAAAAATTAAAAAAAAAAAAAACGGGACAAGAAAATGGCTCTTGCTTCATAGGTGTTGCATTCATTCTAATTTATTGCTTATGGCTTTCACAAGAGACCTTGTTTTTCCTTCAGAACTTAGACTGCTTGAGTTGTATGTGAATCACTAACTGCAGGCACACTCAGAGGGCTCTTAGGGCTCCCAAGAGGGGAAAAGGAGTGGCTGTCCTATTACCCTTAATCAGCCAAGGCAGGGCCTCAGCATGGTTCTGTAGATTCAAGCCCTTGACTAACTTGAGGCATCTGGTCAACTCTGTGCACACATGCAAACATGGGTGCGTGGGTGTGCGTGTGTGTGTGTGTGCATGCATACCTGCCTATGAACATGCATGAACAAGCAAGAGAGTGTTCATATGAGTTTGGAAAGTATCTCAAATACGAGAAATGTGGACATGGCCTATGTGTGTCCAGGTATAGGCTTGGGGCACTGCTCCCCAATCCAGAATGACATTCCAGGCCTGGTTACAACAGCTACTGGAGAGAAACAATTTTGGAAAAAGATATTTCAAAGCCCAGGTGGTCCTGAACTGTGGAAGAGTGGACAAGGGAGAATTCTACTTGTCCAAATTTAGGGCAGTCCTGTCTGTGGATGGACTTCCATTTGTACGTTGGCTTCAGGTACTGGGAATACCATGGTAATCTTTCTCAGCTTATCATGTCAACTCCACAATTTGTGATAACTTTGATGTCTCTAAATAGACTATTTATTCAGCCGTTTATTCATAAAAACATTTATCGAACATGCATATCATGTATAGTGCCCTATTGAATTGAGATCCTTTCAAGTTTAATTTATTTCTTAATAATTGGATAAGAAGTAAGAGGTGGCCTAGTAAAAGGCCTTAAGAAAAACAAACAAGTACAGAAATCATGCCTTCAAAATTTTCAATCTTAGGCATACTTAAAAAGGTATGTTTTACTATTATTTCTTTAAGGAATACCACTTCAACTCCATTAATTAGTATAATATACCTTAATGTAAATATGGGCCACATTATGATTTATGTCTTATGGATTGACAACTGGCCTCTTTATATGACTTTCCGAAGAGCAATCAAAGCAGTGGTCTGGTGGGGCGCCTGAGTGGTTCAGTCGGTTGAACGTCTGACTTCGGCTCAGGTCATGATCTCACAGTTTGTGGGTTCAAGCCCCACATCAGGCTCTGTGCTGACAGCTCAGAACCTGGAGCCTCTTTCAGATTCTGTGTCTCCTTCTCTTTCTGCCCCTCTCCATTCACACTCTGTCTTACTCTGTCAAAAATAAATAAAATGTAAAAAAAAATTGGTTACACTTACAATAGTGACTTTAATACACTAGTTGAAGGAGCAGTGGCTCAGCATATCCAGAATTTTGGGTTTTGTTTGTTAAACTTGATTATTCCAACCCCCAGAAAAAGGTCTCACCTGCAACTGGCACTCAGGACTTGAGAAACTAAAAAATCTGAGAATGAATAAAATGATCAATTTAGTGGATTTATCTGCTCTCTCTAACACTCACCATCTTCCTGTAACCTCCAACTCTACAAGACTAAGGTCATTTTGAACCTATACATTACAATACATCTTGAACCTATACATCCCAATACATTTTGGAGAAAATTTTAATTTCTCCATAATGGAGTTTAGTATTTTAACTGGCTACAAACAGCAGAATAAACATTAATCTCTTGACTATTACCTTGCAAAAGAGTCTAAAGTCATCAATTTTCAATACTTGAAAGTATATTAATTGTGATTCAAAAGCAAATGATCATAACCTTTCAAAAAATGAAATTTAAATTAGAATAAGAAAACATATCTTAGATTTTCAGAAGAGTGTTATGGGTCAGGAGGAGAGTCTCAATTTTGCAAGTGAGTTAACATGTGCTACTAGAATTCATATTCAAGGAATATGATAAGTGAGCTAGGCAATGGTAAAGGTATGCACGTGTCCAGAAACTAACAGGTGCACTGTTTAGGAAAAGGAGTGGTGATCCTCTATTCAAACCAATTTAAAACCTCACACTAGCTCTACCAGTAGCATCAAACTAACACAAAGACATTGCAACCAATCAGGATGCTATTATCCTTACACTTAGGTAAACCAATCAATAGTTTATTCCTTTCCAAGGCCTATTATCAAGCCTAACACTGTCCTATATGAGGTTTTAAACATAAATAAAGTACACCTCTTGCTCTTCAAGAGGGAGGGATGGCACGTAACATTTATCGAGTCCCTCGTGTTTTTCTGCCATTGTTGTGTATGATTTCAACCAAATAAAACCATATAAAAAAATAAGTCAAAATTGGAATTGCTCTTACCACTACACCATATTGCAAGAATCACAATTCAAATTTTCTGTGTCGGGAAGGGCATCTTGGGTCTAGAAAACATTATCTTTTGACTATCCTGACTATTTTCATGTTTAAAGTCATTGTAGAAGTCTGTGGGTAGCTGTTTCTGTGCTATCTGTGGTGCTCAATTCATGTGTTCATGAGCATAAATAATACAAATATATTTGCATCTATGTAATGTATAAAGTGTTTTGATTTCTTGCTCTTATTTAGTTTTCATGGTAAATATATTCTGTAGCCCTGGGAATTCTGCATTTTGAGCGAATTACACAAAAACTAGAAACTGTACAACTGTATCAATCTAATACATCTCTGTCACAAATATTTGGAAATTATCCAGATCTTCAGTGAATTATGGGAAGTACTGGTAGCAAGGAACATGTATGATTGAATCTTGTTAGTATAATGGTTATACATTAACTACTATTTCTTACTATAGTTGTTTTGGCTACCATTCATTTTTCCCAGTGGCAGAGCAACATCACCAAAGTGGAGAACTATATGATAGTGGTGATCAATAGTATTTGAAGTAAAATGTTCATTTTTAAATGATTTGATTCCTGGGGCTCCTGGATAGCTTGTAAGTTGAGCGTCTGACTTCAGCTTAGGTCATGATTTCAGGGTTTGTGAAAGTTCAAGCCCCACATCAGGTTTTCTGCTATTAGTGTGGAACCAGCTTCAGATCCTCTGTCTCTCTCGCTCTCTGCCACACCCCCACTCGTACACGTACTCTCTCTCTCTCTCAAAAATAAATAAACATCAAGAAAATAACTTTAAAAAATATGACTCCTGATAGAGTGTTAAATAAGGGCTGGCAATAATGTTGTTTTTTTGTTTTTTGTTTTTTGTTTTTTTATGCGATAAGTCCAAGTGATTTGAGGACGACTCTGAGGTCACTTCCAGCCTTAGAGAATAAAAGGTACATTGCTATATTACTAAAGTCTGTTATGAGACAGGCGGAGGTGAGTGGTGGAATTTGTGCTACACGTTTGCCCTCCCTGATCTAGACTGCAAGTTAAATAATCCTATAAATGTTCTTTGCTAATGTAAAATCAGCTTATTTATTAAGACAGAGCAAACCGATTAACACATCTCTCTACCACTTGCCAAAATAGAGATTCATTTTCTTATCATAAAGAACAGGAGAGAGAATCTTTGGGATGGGAGATTTCAATGATAAAAACCATTTTAATGAAATGTGCTTTCATTTCAAAGCCGTATTCTAAATTCATGATTAAAGATCTAAGAAATAAAGAGCAACTATAACTCTACATTTTCAACATGTTCTTGTTGTCGTTTTTATCAGACTTTGCTAAAATTGGGGAGGGGAAAGCGGATCTTATTTTAAGAATCAGCAGTCTCATAAACTATTTCTTCTGACTTAACATCTTTATAATAAAAATCTACTATAATAAATTCATTGCTAGGTTGTATTTTTATTACTACAATCTCCCCCATGAGTTCTCAGTTAAAAATATTCTGGGGGAGGAAGAGAATGTCATTTCTGTCAGAACATAATTCTCCACCTGCTGAAAAACAAAGGCATATAGTTTGTGCTAGTTGCCTATTATTTTTTAAACATTGATATATAAGCTTATATATTTATAGCAAATTAAAAAAATAGATGGGGCACATTATACAAGTCATTGTTATCAAAGTGACCATCATAAATTGTGAAGTGTCCAATATCCATCTCAAACTTCTAGCAGAAAAAAATTAAAAGAGCCTAAATCTCTAAAACAAAGAAGATGAAAAAAAAAGAATAGTACTAAACTCATAATCTTGGTATCTATTCATGAAAGATAGTCATATTTTTCTTTTTTTATTATGAAATAAAAATGTATTGAATCAGTTCCAGAGTCTATTAATTGTTTTATGATACTTTTAAAATTTGAATAAATATATCCTTGATTTAAAAATAATCTGCTTTGTGACTGTAAAAATTGTGTCTAAACTACCCCAGGCTATAAGGAGCCACCTTTAGCAAGTATCTAATGGCAGCTTCTCACATCTGCATTTAAATCAGACACAGTCATCAGGTGCTTCTACTGAGACTGAGATTTGACCCATTAAATTCAAATCTGCCTGTATATTTGCTGTGGGCTAGGGCAATAATCTAAGGTTTAAAAAGTTATCTCAACTCGGCTTAAGGGTAAAAAATGATTTACTCATTCTAAAGATTCTCGGATCCTATTTCTGGAATCACTCTTGTATTGACATTTTTCTATCCCTACATTTCAGAACTTCATTCCAGAACTTCACCATTTGTTACCATGTATTAAATATCCTTGATTCAATAGCTCTTAACTCCATGTCACTCTGCATAGCAACAACAGAATCATCTGTGATGGAGAAAATCCAACAACTATAAAGTTATCCACTACTTTAAAACAACAGCACCAAAAACCTGGCCTAAGTGCACCTCTCCAGTGTTATTTTCTTTGACTCAAACCCC